GTCTACTCTGGCTGCTTAGGATCAAATTACGGTTGTGGAACGCCGAGCTTTATATTCTAACGATCTCTGGCATGAGGCACAAATTCATTGTCTACCGACCTGTCATATCGGGTGAAGACGCCCTTGAACAACAGACCATGAGCAATTTAGATTTTAGGATATGTTTTCGATAACCTGACGGGTATCTGCCTTAGCGCTTGAGCACGGATTGTCATTATCCAGCTCCAGTGGTCTTTTTGGGCAATCGACATCGAAGGTTAAGAGCGTCTTGTCTGCATTTGGCGAAATCACGCTTGTACTTTTGAAGGATTGCAGCATTTACAAAAACAACGTATATTGTTTTAGTGGGTCCCGCTGCATTGTTTTTTTCCAATTAAAGAACGCAGGTTGTTTAACCGAGGTTGATTTACTATATACGCCAGCCTACTATTTCTACGCAAGTGGGCGTTGTTGGCTACGTTCGTAGTTGAAAACCAATCAAGTCCTAATTTGTTTATTTGAGGATTTGCTTTAGTTTCGTTGACGTCTCCAACTGCTTTAGCTCCGGCAGTTCGCCATTCATTAAATTGTGAAGAATACACGATCGCTAGGACTGACGTTTCAGATTCCTGCTGGAATGGTGTTCGATTGTGGATAATAATTATGCTTAGGAGATGCCTCGGCATCGAAAATGAAAGAGAGAAGCTATTATGTTTCTTACTAGACTGCAAGCAAGTGAACCATGAGTCAAGCAGCCCGCGGATAAGGCAGTTGTTACTCCTACCGAGAATTCCGGCTTTGTCAAATTCGAATGTGTGGCCTGATTTCGTCAAGTTAGGTAGGACCTGAGAGCTGGCATCCTTTTACCGCCCTGCTGTCGCGTGTTCGGCCATTCATGTTTGAAGCAGTCTTCCGGTTTCTCCGACGAAGTTGCTCTGTCTGTAATGGCACCAGATGCGACGAAATACTCCAGATGTTTCTTTCCGTGGCAGTGGGTCTTTTGGTTTCATCACGCGACGTCTGATGGTTGCCTCTGGTCTCTGAACAAAACCCCGCTCGAGGACGCGGCGCTTCAAAACTGTCTGCAGAGAATCATTGTTCTGAACCCCCTATACGTAACGCTTTCGTTAAAGGGAAGATATTTATGCGCAGTTGAGGGGTTACCAGTGATGTAATCTTGCGCATATTGCCACTGCCAACATTACCGGTATGGTTTTAAAAAGCACTACAATGCATACATGCAATTTGCATGGTCAAAATTTCGATTGGGGTTTCCGTAATGTATTTAAAACTCGACCGAAGAAACTTACGATTATACTGCGTGATAGTCTGTGTAATAAGCTCACTTAATAATCTTTCCAATTGAGAACGCACTTTGCTAGATCGTCTATCAATTTGTGTGATTGCTTGCTGACTGTGCATAGGTAAAACCACGTGGATTAGCTGGTAGAGACAAATCACGTAGATAATGCATCAGAAACCGCTAAAGCTGAGTTATCCTGCGGACGTTGCGTAAATCATATAGGACAATCAAGTTTTATGTTGAGTAAATGGTTTTACTAAATGCTAATTAAGGTCATTTTTCGCATATGATTATTTGTCTTCAGTCAGTAATAATCGATGCCTAAAAATGATATCTTGTATTTTGAAGTATAAAAGACACACAGTTTGTTAGTATCTATATTGCACCTTCTAATAACTTTAAAATGAGTATGCACGGCGATGAATTTTACATTCAAATTAACTAAAGGCTATCGTGTGAGCATTTTTTGTTACATGGTATGCACACCTCTTAAACGGACGTACTGACAGCGAATAATCGGAACTCAGAACACACTTCGTATTTTCGGTGTAAACACTAACCTTATGGTAAGTTTTAATTTCGTCCGCGTAAACTCGAAGACATAGTCCAAGAATAGTAAAATGAACCGCAGAATATGGAGACTTGCGTGTCAACATATGCAACATTTTCATTTAAAGTAGAGGAACACCGGAGAAATAGCTTACGTCTTAACGAATTGTTCTGAATTTGATACACGCCAGGAATTCGCATCTGTCAAATTCGAAGTACCTGTACTAGCAATTTTACCTGCATGAGGCATTTCTAGTCCCAGTCGTCCAACACTGAAAGGCAAACAGTGACGGCGAATCCTAAAATAAAACACTTTCTACACATATGTATGTGATAGATCAACCATCGCATCCGACAATGTCTACCCTGGGATCCATACCAAAGTGAAACAGGCATGGTGACTTGCGCGTGAATTAGTTTATAATGGGAGTATACTTGCAAGGCATCTGCTACAATCTCCCCCTACCAACGTGAGCCCGGTGTCAAGAAAGAGTCAAGAAGGTGAGGTGCGAAGAGGGCGGTTAAAATGCCTACTTAATTAGCATGCATTTTTTACATTAATTATCGACGTTTTGCGAATTCAAATTTCTTTTTTGGAAACCCGCAGAAGAATGTGCTTTCTTTCAGTTATTTGATAGAGTATCACATTAACTTTATATTTTATACTCTCGAGAACGAATATAATTAGAATTTAAAAAGTTTCTAATAATGATGTTTTTTAGGACCGCACAATGCCTATTCATTTACCATCGTACCTGTCCGTTTACGACCACTCCTCATGAAATGTACAACATAGTACGCATCCATTGCAAACTTTTATGGAGTATATGTGATATCGTTTTAAAGGCATGGAAGAATATGTGATATTCTTTACGCGGATCGCATGCGCCTTGTAGACTGAAATCAGTAAGCGTTAATGCAACGACTGATCAGGATCCAAATTATTCGGCAGTTAGAGAGCTTTTTTAAACCTAATTATACTCCTTCTTCGAGTATAAATGTAAAGCTGGCCTGATTCTCTGTCAGTGGACTAAAGGAAACCCTATTTTGTTCGGAGTTTCCATAATATACATTTTAATTCGTAAGACCATCGAAAATAAATGGAAAAAGTGCGTGCTAATTAAGTGATCATTTTTACAGAGTACGGCTTCTACAAGAGTTTCAAAAGCATTTTATTCAAAAGCAGAACTCCTGTCTTATTCGAAATATTATAAAATTATGCCGCCAGATAATAAACATTACAACAGTGCCTACGTAACCCTTCCCAATCGAAAACACATTTCAGCCAACATTTCATGAGATAGGTCACTCACTGTAGTTAATTGACTAATACCTAGCAATGATGCGTTTTCCATTATATATCATAATTCTACCGAATGTTTTAAGTACTGAACTGGTCCGTGGACGCGCGACTACTATGATTTCGTCCATTTCGATGCCTTCTTATCAAACGACTAAAACATCCTCCTTTCATCTTAGTCAGACACTTACCAATCAATGAAAAACCTCAAGCATCGATATAAAAGTTGCAGAAACCGTTTTCAAATCTACAGGTGAAATGCATGGCTTTTTAAAAGCATTGTAATTCATTTCACCTTACGTCCTGGAAAATGCATATGCGCAAACAGCAAGACATACGATTTAAAAAAAAGTACACAACCAATTTCGGAGTTAACACTCTGCCTATATCATGTGCTGCTGTGCGGCTGCTGGTTAGGCCCGAGAGAGAGCCCAAAAGGCACAATAAGACGAGTGAGTTCAGTAAGAACGATCGGTGAGCGCCCCCTACCATTGTGTATTCCCGATCGAAATCGACAGGGCCACGGGCTCGTGGGCAAGTGGTTAGAGGCGTGGACTTCTAACTAACAGGTAAGGGGACCGAGCCCCAGGTGTTCTACACTTCGGGGTTAGGTTTAGCTGATTGACGACGGTTAATAAGCCAGAAGTGGCCATTACAGTCTCCCCTGTCATTGTCGGTAATAACATTCTGCCTATATCATATGCCACTGTGCGGCTGCTGTTTGGCTCGAGAGAGGGCGTGCAAGGCACAACGGGACGAGTGAGGTTCGTAAGAACGATCGGTGAGCGCCCCTTTACCATTGATAATTTTTCCTCAAATAATGGAGAGGTTTTTGAAGATGCCCTGGAGATATCCTTGAATCGCGCAAACAAGCACACTCCTTCGCAGGGGGTGCAGACCCTCCTGTTTAAGGACTACGGGCAGGTTTGTAGGAACTACGTTCTGCATTCAAATAGATCCCCTCATGAGTCCGAATAAATCATTCTTTTTGCCTCTCTCGCAAGTACCGCTGTGGTAAGCTTCGTCAGCTTAGAATGTGGCTGTTTATGCCGTTGGATGTGCGTAGACTATAAGACTTGGAGAGAACGGTGATGATTTTTTTATATGCAGTAAGTCAACTGGGGTGTAGGGGTGTCCAGCGGTGGGTTCACGTGATGGTCGTAGTGGTCGCTCACTTGCTTGCAGGAGACTACGCCTAGCGTCCATTTGCTTGCACCCAACTCTCACATGTGGCTCCACGAAGCTGGGCTCTGCTCAGCGGCCACACCCTGGGCAACCGTCTCGACCGGCGGGCTAAACCAGGTGAGGGCGTTGTGCGCTTGTGCCGCGTGCACAGTGTACTGCGGACTCCGCTGGATGAATGGTCGGATGAAAAACTGCGCCGGCATCGTCGAGACGACGCTCTGCCTGGTACGCCGTTGAACAACCGCTGCCGGGACGGGTCTCCGCATCGCCTTCGCTGAGACGCGCCCACCCTCTCCGACGGAGACCGCGGACTCACGGCATATGCGGTCGTTCTCCACTACAAACATTAAAGTCGTGGCCCCATATTGGGATTCGCTCGCGCCATCCAGACACATGGGCAGCCCGATTCAGAGGCGGCACTGCCTGCCTCCACGAGCGGAAGGGCCTAGAAAAGGTGGCCTAAAAATGTTGGGTACCACGCCGTCTTCAGGCTAGCCAGTGCCGCAGACATCTAATCATGGTCGAAACAATCAAAATCGAAACAACAACAACAACCATACTCATTCTTCTCATCCTACCTCTTCTAACTCTTCCTCTGCCTATTCTTCTGTCTATTCTTCTCCTTCGTCCTCTTCTTCTCCACCGCCTTCCCGTCGCCCCACTTGTTGTCCCCAGACTGGCAGGATGAGCCCGCTCACTCTGGCAGCCTGGAATGTTCGTTCCCTTTTAGACAATCCAAGGAGCAACCGGCCGGAGCGGAGGACGGCTCTAGTGTCACGAGAACTCGCCCGCTACAAGGTGAACATCGCCGCACTCAGCGAGACCCGATTCTCCGAACAAGGCCAACTGGAGGAGGTGGGTGCCGGCTACACCTTCTTCTGGAGTGGTCGGCCCAGGCCAGAGCGACGAGACGCGGACGTCGCCTTCGCCATCCGGAACGACATCGTGGGACGACTGCCCTGTCTACCGCAGGGCATCAACGATCGCCTGATGAGCCTCCGCCTGCCTCTCCGGCGGGGTGGGGGCAAATTCGTCACCATCATCAGCGCCTACGCTCCGACGATGATCAACCCCGACGCCGTCAGAGACAAATTCTACGAGGACTTGCACGCCCTCTTGGCGACTGTGCCGAAGGCGGACAAGTTGATTGTCCTTGGCGACTTCAACGCCCGCGTCGGCACAGATCATACTGCCTGGAGAGAAGTGCTTGGTCCCCACGGTCTCCGCGGCTCAAACGACAATGGTCTGCTGCTCCTCCGCACCTGCGCAGAACACCGCCTCATCCTGACGAACACGTTCTTCTGTCTGCCGGAGCGAGAGAAGGCCACCTGGAGGCATCATCGGTCGCGTCAGTGGAACCTGCTGGACTATGTCCTCGTCCGGAGGCGAGATCAGCGGGACGTGCTGGTGCCGAAGGCGATCGCGGGTGCTGACGGGTGGACTGACCATCGCCTCGTCATATCGAAGATGCGTATTCGCCTACAGCCTCGAAGGAAACCACAAGATAAGCGTCCCCCGGTTAAGCTGAATGTTGCCTTGTTGTCCTTGCCCGCTCACCATCTTAATTTCAGCAATGAGCTAGCTCAACGGCTAGACAACCTTCCTATCGCTGCCGACGCCGCCGCTGCCGAGAACGCCTCCGTGGAGAACCGCTGGTGTCAACTGCGAGACACGGTCCAGTCGACGGCACTCGCCGTCCTCGGTCGCGCTCCCAGCCAACATCAGGACTGGTTCGACGACAACGACGCCGCCATCAGAAATCTGCTTGCTGAGAAGAACCGCCTCCACAAAGCCTACGTAGATCACCCAACTGACGACAAAAAAGTTGCTTTCTACCGCAGTCGCCGCCACCTCCAACAGCGACTGCGGGAGATGCAGGACGCCTGGACTGCTCGTAAAGCTAAGGAGATCCAAGGCTACGCAGACCGCAACGAATGAAAGAACTTCTCCTCTGCGATCAAAGCTGTCTACGGTCCGCCGACGTAGGGCACTGCTCCTCCACTCAGCGCCCACGGTAGCACTCTCCTGACTGAGAAGACACAAATTCTACAGCGATGGGCCTGCTGCGGTCTACAAGCATGGAGGTCCCCAACTGATGGGTCACCTGACTGCGCTCTTCCAGGAGATATAGCGGCAAGGCGAAGTCCCGCAAGATTTCATGGACGCAACCATCGCGCATCTCTACAAGCGCAAAGGGAATCGCCAAGTCTGCGACAATCACCGCGGCATCTCCTTGCTGAACATCGCTGGCAAGATCTTCGCACGAATCCTCCTCAACCGTCTCAATAACCATCTCGAACAGGGCCTTCTGCCTAAAAGCCAATGCGGTTTCCGTCCTCATCGTGGGACCACGGATATGATCTTCGCCGCCCGTCAACTTCAGGATAAGTGCCAGGAGATGCGGACCCACCTGGACTCTACCTTCGTGGACCTGACGAAAGCCTTTGACACGGTGAATCGTGAAGGACTGTGGAAGATCATGCAGAAATTCGGCTGTCCGGAGCAATTCACTCAGATGGTGCGTCAGCTGCACGACGGTATGATGACGCGAGTCACAGACAACGGAGCTGTCTCAGAGGCATTGGCAGTGATCAACGGAGTGAAGCAGGGCTGCGTACTGGCGTCTACCCTGTTTAGTCTTATGTTCTCTGGCATGCTGATGGACGCCTACCGCGACGAACGCCCCCGGATCCGCATCGCCTACAGGACGGACGGTCACCTCCTGAATCAACGGCGGATGCACTTCCAATCGCGCGTATCCACAACCACCGTTCACGAACTCCTCTTCGCCGACGACTGCGCCCTAAACACCACCTCGGAAGAGGAGGTGCAACGGAGCATGGACCTGTTCTCCGCCGCCTGCGAGAACTTCGGTCTGGTCATTAACACGCAGAAGACGGTGCTGATGCACCAACCGCCACCATACTCAGTCACAGCCCCCAACGCGCCGCCGCAAATCAGCGTGAATGGGACCCAACTGCAAGTGGTGGAGAACTTCCCGTACCTGGGCTGTACTCTCTCCCGCAACACCAGGATCGACGACGAAGTCGCCAACAGGATCTCGAAAGCCAGTCAAGCCTTCGGTCGCCTCCAAAGCACCGTTTGGAATCGTCACGGTCTTCAGCTGAGCACGAAGCTGAAGATGTACAAGGCCGTCATCCTGTCGACACTACTGTATCGAACAGAGACTTGGACGATGTACGCAAAGCAGGCACGCCGTCTGAACCACTTCCACCTCAGTCGTCTACGTCGCATCCTGAGGCTGAACTGGCAGGATCAAATCCCCGACACTGATGTGCTGGAACGGACGGGAATCCTCAGCATCTACGCCATACTGAGACAAATGCAGCTGCGCTGGAGCGGCCACCTGGTGCGCATGGACGACGAGCGACTACCCAAACGACTATTCTACGGAGACGTCGCGACGGGTTCTCGCCTTCAAGTAGGCCAGATTCGCCGTTACAAGGATACCCTGAAGTCCTCCATGAAACGTCTGCAAATCAACCCCACCAAGTCGGAGGAGCTCGCACTCAATCGACCGACCTGGAGGAGGACAGTGAAGATAGGCGCTGCGATCTACGAAGCCAACCGCATCACTGCCGCCAAAGCAAAACGCGAAGCCCGCAAATCACAACTTCGCCCAGTACGCAACGCCGCCGCAAAACCGCTTCCAACGTGTCCTCGATGTCAACGGACATTCCGGGCTCGAATCGGACTTGATGGACATATTTGGATTAACTGCGCCTCTCGAACTGTACCAACCATCGTCCCCCCGCCTGCCTCTTCCTCCTCCTCTCCGCCGCCAAATAACTCTGACAATTCTTCTGATT